CGGCCTCCGCTCACTCAAGCCGGCCTCCGCATACTCTAGGCCGCGGCTCACTCTGGGCCTCAGGCCTCCGCTCACTCAAGGCCGCGGTGTGTGGCGCTTTTTCGTTGTGAAATCAAACACGAGTTTTTTGGGCAGTGTAGTGTAGCACTTGTTGTTTGACATTTCTCCGATCACAAATCAAACGATCATTGCTCCTCAACAGATCCTGAGCTCATTGACAAATATCTTATATCGTAAGATGTGCTCCCTTTACAAAGTGTGCACGCGATCGCGAAAGTGAACTGCGACTGCGAGCGCTCATTCAAAAGCGATTTAAATACCCCACATATTAATAGCGGCTCCATGATGCGCGAAAATTATAAACAATATTAGAATATTTGCGGGATTGGATGGGAGTGGGCGGTAATTGTCAGAAATTCAGCGAGAGCAGGATCAAGTAACAAGCCCCGCACAGGGCTCTATCTTGCGCTATCACGCAGCAGCGGTGCAGTCTGTCAGTGAGCGCCATAACAGATGACGTCAAATCTTGCTGGATTCCATAATAAGTAAACTACACAGAACCCCACTATTCGGACAAATACAAATGAAAAGATTATACAAAATGTAATACCTTGGAAAATAGCATTTAATACTTTTTAATACTTTTCAAGGGCCTTAATTTTCAATAAATTGATTTATCAACTTTGAATACTTTTTAAGACCCCGCGGACACCCTGTTATATAATTTAGTTCTTTGGTGTCCTTTTGGAGTTTCCAAGTGTCCGTTTTTGGAAAGACATCTAAATTTATCTTGAAAAAAAGCTTGCAGAAAATACAGATTTTTGAGAATCACCCTTCAATCTTTTGGTTTACTTCGCTGGATATAGCAAATGATGACAAAATAAACATTTGAAACAAGATAAATGGTCTATGCTTAATTTCATGAAGTGTGCGATTAATCGCGATTAAAAGAGAAAAAGGGTGTGATTAATTAGATTAAAAATTTTAATCGATTGACAGCCCTAATATATATATATATTCATTTATTTCACATTTCCATTATATATTTATTTGGCAAGGATGCATTAAATTAATGAAAAGTGACAGTAAAGACATTTATTTTAAATAAATGCTGTTCTTTTGAACTTTCTATTAAAGAATTAACAGAACAGGGAAAAAAAATAACTATTACCTAAATAATTAACTATATTTACACAAAAATATTAAGCAGCACAACTGTTTTCACCATTGATAATAATAAGAAATATTATTAAGCAGCAAATCAGCATATTAGAATGCTTTCTAAAGGATAATGTGACATTGAAGACTGGAGTAATGATGCTGAAAATTCAGATTTGCATCACATGAATAAATTACATCGAACAGATTAAAAAATAGAAAACAGTTATTTCAAATTATAATATTTCAAAATATAATATTTCTGTATTTATGATCAAATAAATGCAGCATTTGTGAGCATGAGAGACTTGTTTCAAAATCTTATTGATGTGAGATACTGTATATGTATATATATATATATATATATATATATAATTGCATTAAACACTTGTTAATGCTTTAATTGCATGTATTAATGTGATCATTTGCCCTATAAAAATACACACATATTCATATACAGGCAGTGTGTGAACTAAATGTAGGTGCAAGGACATCAATTCACCTTCCTCAGCAGGTCAGCGTGGCTCTGGACCAGCTCTGTGTATTTCTCCTTTAACTTGGTGTAGCGTTGCTCATTAGCTTGTGCTTTTCCTACAAAAAAAACACAAAACACACAACCAAAATATCTACATTAAGTATCAAAAACCCAAGCCTTGATATGCCTCAGACCATGCTCTCTGCGACACAGAACAGTTAGCACCACTGAGAGCCTCAGCACAGGCCTGCATGTTGGTGAATTGGACTGTGCACTATTGGAGGCTGCAGTGAATTGGAGTCCCTTCTGACTGTGTTCCTCAGCTCCAGAGAGTAAACAGACTGTCTAATGAATATCCATAACTGTCCTGCATCTGTACTGATTCTGCACAGCCCTTTAAAGGGATAGTTCACCCAAAAAAGAAAATTCTGTCATTATTTTCCAAGCTGTTCCAAACCTGCATGAGTCTTCTGTTATTTTGAATGTTGGTAACCAAACAGTTGATGGTAGCCATTGACTTCCACAGTATAGAAAAATAATACTATGGAAGTCAATGGCTACATGTAACTGTTTGATTACCAACATTCTTTAAAATATCTTCTTTTGTGTTACACAGATAAAAGAAAAACTTGAGGGTAAGTAAATTATGACAGAGTTATTATTTTTAGGTGAACTATCCCTTTAATATCCTGGCTATAACATTGTATTTAAACCATAATGTATGCTGACTTATGAACGAATAACTGATGTTCCAAAAAAAGCAACAGTTTGGGGTGAACCACTGAGTGTAAATTAACCATAAAGGAAGAAATGGCTGTTTTTTTTTTTTGCGCGAAAGAGGAACAGGTTGGTCTTGACAATGGTTTGTCTTGAAGCCCTCATTTACAGCTGTCAGTCCAAGTTCTCTAAATATTAACAGGGTCGTGAAAATTTAATATAATAATTGAAATAAAAAAGTAGATTTGTACTCTGAAAATATTGTAAATTGCTCCAACAAAAAACTCTTACTCTCGATTTCGCTCAGGCTGCGCTGCTCTTTCTCGGTGTCTTCTTTGACCCTGCGCAGGTCGTCTAGCTCCACCCTCAGGAACTCGCTCTCACCCAACGCCTGCTGCTTCAGGTGAGTCTGCTCCGCAAGCTCCGCCTCCAGCTCGTTTACACGCCCCCGTAGAGCTTGACAAAGACGGCCACTCTGAGAAAGACCAAAAGAACGATTAGTGGCATATAGCTTTCATTTTTACTTCTCTTCCACTCTACATGACCCTTCAAAAGGTTGGGGGCAGTAAAATATTTTAAAAGAAGTCTCTTATCAAAAATACAGTAGAAACAGTAATATTATGAAATATTATTACAATTTAAAAGAATTGTTTTCTTTTTAAATGTAATTTATTCCTTTGATGGCAAAGCTGAATTTTCAGCATCATTACTTCAGTGTCACATGATCCTTCAGAGATCATTCTAATCTGCTGATTTGATGCTCAAGAAACATTTCTTATTATTATCAATGTTGAAAACAGTTGTGCTGCTTCATATTTTTGTGTAAACCATGATTCTTTCTTAAAACATTTTTTAAAAGAACAGCATTTATTTGAAATAGAACTTCTTTGTAACATTACAAATGCATTTGCAATTACTTTTGATCAATTTAACGCATCCTTACTGAATAAAAATATGAGTTTCTTAAAAAAAAAAAAAACACATTTCTGACTCCAAACTTTTAAGCGTTAGCTTATCAAATTTGACCTCTCATCTCCCACTCTTTACCTCCAATCTGAAGGACTCCAGCTCCTCTTTCAAGGCCTGTAGCTCCGCTGTGAGCTGCTCAATCAAACGGTCTCTGAGATGAGAGATACATATTCATGAGTCTTGTGTTATAATATGTTCTAATAAACTCAAAGAGGTTCCTATAACTTATTAATTATATTCTCCAACAGTATCTCCAAGTCTTACTTCTCATCTTTGCGCATGCCGTTCTGACTGTTGAAGTTGAATGGGTCTGTAGCGGCCGAGGTGCCGAAGAGGTCGTCGAATTTTCGGTCTACAGTACTCTAATGGAGAAAAAAAAAAATCCCTGTCTTTAGAAACTCAAGATAAAAGGAAAGTATACAGACAAATTTGGATAGTGAGATTTTGTGTGGTACCGGTAAAGGTGGGATGTCCGTGTCCACCAGGTCTTCTGTCTCTACTACATGTTCACTCTCAGGGGACGAAGACTCCACCGGAATCACCACCACTGGACTGATGTGCTCGGAGAGGGCTGACGCCCGCAGGAAGTTTGGCGGATTCTGAAGAGAAATGAAGAGAGATGTGAAGAAAGGAAACTACTGGAATGTGTTTTCAAACAGGTTTCCAAAAATATTTCCCTTGTATGCTATTGGTCAGGAAAACAGATAGCCCCGCCCTAGTCTCACGCATTGGTTGAGCTGATGTCACAATGTTGTTAACATGATGGTCAAACAAATGAAAAAAAATAGCTCGCTGTGCCTTTAATGTTAATTCAAAATATAAGAAATGTCATGAAAATGGAAGAAAAATGTTGTTTTATAGGGCAGCCTACAGTATTTTCTTGGAGTCCAGTTGAAAAACCTGATGCTAGAAAACTAAGCAGGCAGATATGTAAATGAGTTACATAATTTCTTTCCACTAGCCGCATTTTTGGACTCAGGTCAAGCAGGAATGGTTTGGTATGCAGGAGTCTCACCTCAGGAAGCTGTGGGATCTGAATCAGTCTCTTGAAATACTGCAGGTTACTGGAGCGATAGAACAGACTCTTCAGCCTGGAAAGAGAGAGAAACGGAGCGAAAAGAAAAGATTGAGAGAGTGAGAAATACAAAAGAATAAAATAGTGTCAGTCTGCGTGACTCATGGCAGTAGTTCTGACTGGATAGTGACTGACAGACTCACTTCTTAAACTGCTCCTGGAAGCGATCCCTGTGGCCCTGCAGAGTATCTGCTGGCAGACCTGGAGGACATGAGAACGAGAGGACTGAGAGAGCACACTATTTTCAGCTCTACTTTTATTACATTTTATTATAATATCCAAAGGAACAATGCCAAATACAGAACAATGACAACTTTCCTACTAGAATACATAGTTAAAATAATAATAAATAAATAAAAATATTAATATTAGTGCTGTCAAAATTAGCACATTAATGCATGCAATTAATTTTTTCAGTTTAACGCATTAAATATTAAGGTAAATATTAATATACTTATTAAAGGATAAGTATCGCTTTTTATTTCTCCTCTTTCCTATTACTTGTTTGGCTTCTGTTTCAGTTTTTATAACCATTTCTTACTATGTGTAAGTTGTTGTTTTTTAGCATGTGTGTTTGGCAGTGTTATTTTTTAGGATTACTGATAAACTACTGTCATTTGATTTGTATTATTTGTATTTGTTATTTATTTTAATTTTAGTTACATTATGTCTTTTGAATTGTTTTTAGCTTTATTTTTTGTTTTTCATTTAAATGTTAAGTTTTGAAATTTTGTTGTATGCATTTGTCATTTTTATTTAATCTCTTTATTTTTAAAATGTGTATAGGTAGTATTTATAAAGTTTTAGCTTTTAGTTTTGGATCTGTTTTTAGTCGTTTTAATACTACAATTCATTGCTTCTGTTGTCCTCATTTGTAAGTCGCTTTGGATAAAAGCATCTAATAAATGACTAAATAAATAAATTGCTAGGGTTGGCCACCCCACTCACAACTGCTGCTTCTGTCTCTTTTTTTTTTTGACAAGAATTGCATTTATTTAGACGCGCACTCTAACTTCACATCAGCGTCATGCACTAGTCAAACGAGCGCAGAAAAGTTACATGTGATGAGGGAGCTTCAGTAGAACAACAGTGAACTGCAGTCAGATGAGATGCTGTCAGGCCATATATGTCAGTAAAAAACTATTTTTCCTGTCCTGTCAGCCGTTATACTGTGCTCGTAGTGCTCTTCAATTACACGCACAAATGCAGCGGCGTGCTGTAAATTATTTCATATTAAAGTGCAAAAGAAACGACGAGCATGCAATGTCATAATTATGTCGTCAGTTAGCCTAAGTCATGAAGTTACCAAAAAGGCGATTAAAGCTGCCTCAAAACTGTGCATGCATGTAAGTATTTGTTATATATGAGTCAGATTTAAGAACATGTCTCTGAAATGCAGTGGTTTTCAAAACTGTCCTGGAGATGCCCAGCACTGAGTCTCCCTCATCTAACACACCCGATTCAACTTGTCAGCTCATCAGAGACTTTAAGAGCTGAAGTGGGTCAGAAAAGGTAAAGAGTTGTGAGAAAATATGATGTGTGTCAGATCCGCGTCATGTCCAGCAGCAGTAGCTCTTAAAGCAGCTAAAATAACTGAATAACCCAGCTGCTGTGATGTCTGTTAATCAAAGAACAAAAGAAAAA